CGACTTGACAACATAAATTATCTTGACAAGTCGTCAAGTCGAATGGCACTTAGGTGCTTCCGTACATATTATAGATAGATGCCTACCAAATAAGTAATAAAAATTCGCCATAATTCATCAAATATCCGTTGTTTCCAAGGGACTTCGCCCGCTGGCCCCCACCGGGGCCGCCTGGCCCCCAGCCAAGTGAGACTCTATTCGCTCCACTAGCCCCATTTCCCTTTTGCCACTAAATTTTAAAATTTCAATGCATATCAAGATTATGTATTGATGTGCTTGTCTATTCTGAAAATGTTGTTCCCCCCACCCCCAGTTTGAAAAACTCTGGATCCGCCCCTCACCAGGTACCAACTTATACTGTACTGCTGGGTGGAGAGAGACAAACGTAGATAAACTGCCTTGTCCAAGGACAAAAGCGACATGCACAGCGAAGGTTTCAAGCCCCCGATCTCAATATATAGAGTTTGAGCATAGAGGAAATATATGGTCAGGGCCACAACCATTGTGGCAACTGCTTCCACAAAAATTTCCTTGCTAATTATTAAACACACTAGAATAATAGTCCTGTACAGTAATAGCATTTCAATTGCTTTTGTGTACTCTTGAACCTCTGCCAGCAAGTTGATTGATCTTTGTAGTAAATATTTGTAAATCATTGACATCGTTATAATAAAATGTGGTTAAAATGAGAAACTCAAATTTTTACATTATTTTTTTTTTTTGAAGTTTTTCTTTCATTATTTCGGTGGTCTGGTAGTCTACCTTTAAATGCTTTACAATCACAAACGTATATAAACACACTCAAATTTTATTCTCATATTTTTAATGTACCACCTTACTTTCTGGTTTATCTAATTATACAGTATCACCTGTGCCAAATTATAAATGCTTATTGTTCAATGTTTACATTTACATTACAGTACTGTTAAAAAGCAAAGTGTTCATTCACATAATCTTTGCGTCAGACCGTAAATACTCTATTTGCTTTGTTGGAGGCTTCAGTGCGGCGCTTATCCAAGAGCGGTTCTTATAAAAAAAATATTGGCGTGGCACTTTCCATGCCCGTTCCCATGTAACCTATTTCACGTAGTCCTGAAGTTCGATAGGCCTATCATAGGTCCTACGTTATCGTAAATAAACGTTTAAAAAGAAATGATATGATTGTGTCTTCATTGTGTTACTTATTCATTTTAACACTGTACACATTGTATTTAAAACCATTTCTCAAAGTGCAAATGAAAGAAAAAATCACAATGGCCCTTATTCAAGAGCGGCGCTTATTTATTAATACTGTATCAAGCATTTACGGTATATCGGACGTCATTTCTGAGCAATTGTTCATGTGTCTTTTTCAGAGGCGGATTTAGGGATTTAGGGCACATTCCCCCAGTTTTGCTACTGCCTTCTTTCTTTCTTTTTGTTTAATTATACTGTATTTACATATAGGCCTACGGTATGTAAAATTGGTGCCCCCCCTTCATTAAAAAAATTCTGGATCTGCCCCTGCTGTTGATTCACCTTGGTAGAGGTTCAGGAATGTGCTGGGGCAGATTTTCTGTTTATGTCAGTGTGTACCACGCACATACTTGACAATAAGCACAACGCATGATTTTTTTTATGATTCACAACTATACATAATTACAAATTCCACAATGATGGGGCTTTGAAAAAATAGGCTTTTGCAAAACAACAGGCCTTAACAGCCTTATTTCAACCAGCCAATTTCATACTAAACAGGGGTAGTCGTACAGTAGTAGTTCCCTGAGATCCAATATTCTTGTAAAGGGCCTTGATGTCATGAATGAGTCACAGCGGAACACTCAAATTTAATTCCAATGGCTGATATCAGCTGAGATTTCTATTAGTATTATGACTGTGATTCCATCATGCAATTCAGTGTACGCCACAAAAGCATTGGCAGCGCGAGGAGGAGCCTGTCTAAAAGACAGGACTAGGACTTGCCTATTAGGGAAGAGACCATTTATTTTGTCCTGGAAAGCTGCTTTGAAAGACAATTCTGACAGCCTGCGACTACCATTTCCTGGCATCTAGGGGTGCATTCTTAAAATCTGGTCCTTCCATGGTGGGGCCTGGATGGTTTTGGACCCCTAACAGAGAATCTTGAACATCTCGTCAGGGAACTTGGACTCCTCTGTCACTGTCAGGGAATTTCTAGTTCTGCCACTGCACAACAGGAATTTGTTAGTCCTGTTTTTCAGAGTCACTACTTGTTTCAACATAAGATATATAGATGAAGCCAGCCAGGATAACATGCACGAAGATAACTGCTACTACCGCACTGTAAAAGCTGCTATTTCTGTTGTTCATTAAAAATATACCTGTAAAATAATAAAATGTTGAGGATAAGTTTCCAAAATTTTGTTTTTGGATGACTAAATTATTTGTATCAGTTGGCCTGTTCTTTAACTTACCTTCAAATATCATATTCTTGGATATAAAATACATGGCTATCGGTAAAGTAAGCATCATTACAGTAAAAAGCAGTAATGTTTTACCAACACTTGTTAATGTAGAAACACCCCTGAAAGAGAAAAAAATAGGCCTAGTTAGCATACCATTTATAAGCTGCTTTGGCCTAGCTAGGCCTAATAATGCCTAATCGTTCATTCTTATTTTATTGATTGCACATATTGGCATAGTAGACCTATCTATATGTGCAATCAATGAAATAAGAATGAACGATTAGACCTAGGCATACATACATCAAATGATGGATTGTCCAGAAGTTTTGGACGAGTTAAAAGCTATGCTTACCACCCAAAAACATCAAACATGTATCAAGCAAGTATGAATAATCTGGCAACATGGCTAGGCCTAGGCTAGGCTAAGCAATGATTAATTACCGACCTGCAAGCCGAAAAAGGGTTGCAAGCCTGAACGAGGAGGTTTACATAAAAGAGTGTGTTTATTTGGCTAGCCTAGCCTATAGCCTAGGCCTAGGGCCTAGTAGGCTAGTATTCTAGTAATTAGGTAGGGCCTAGGCCTAGTTACTAGGCCTGGCCCTGGTCTAGGCTAACAAACTTTGAATAGGCCTAGATGCAGACCTTTAATATGCAGAAATAAAATCTGGTTTCCTTACCCCTCATTTCGTCTATTGACGTTCATTGCAGTGAATAAACCGTCGAATAAAAGAAATAAACTAGTATAGTTTTAGGCCTAGAATGTACGATGGAGCGATGCGCCCCCACTTTCACCTTATGACCAATTATGACTTTGTCTGCTGCCGCCAACGATGGTCAGAACTTCGATAATTTTGCATGCGGGCCATCACCGCGGCGCATCAACGAGAGAGGGGAGAGAACAACAACGCTGAAATTATATATAAAATGTATCTTTTATACTTCAAAGGATGGTAAAATAGACAGACTGTGTGTAGAATGGCAACATACCTATATTTTGCAAAAAGTCTCAAGCTTGAGTTGCTACCAAGGACTGTTTTCGGAAGTACGAAATATGCCAAAAAATTGTCGCCTACGAAATACGCTCATTTCCCGTCGTCTCAATTAAAGTACTGCTGTCAGTCAGCGAATCGTTGGCCTAGGAATCATGGCGTGCAGAGTTTACGCCGTACCATATCTTACCAATTTGCAAAGCCTTATTTTACTTGTAGCACATTGCAGTCACAAAGTACTAGGGTAATATCAGAGTAAATTCTTTAAGTTTTTTTTTTTTTGAATTTTTATATATGGCTTAGGCCTATAGATAGAAGCCTGGCCTACTGCTAGGCCTAGGCTAGTAGTTATTTAATGTATACAATTAATTATAGGCATTTTAGTTGATAAGTGTAGGAACTATGAATGTGGTCCTGACCTCTACACAAATGTACGCAACTATTTTTCGATTTTCACCCAAATTTGAGCTAATTTTTGATGCAATCAACGCAATTTAAATGCTTACTGTATGGCGAACGCTGAGAAGCCAGAAATCTAACTATAATATAAACTTGGATGGAGATGATTCACTCTCAATATTGCTTGAAGAAATTAATGCGAATCCAAGGGGTTGAGTGGCTGGTAGACCGATTTCAGTGCAGTTCTTTTTTCAGAAATAATTAGCCTCACTAGGCTTTTGTATCTCTCAGTGGTTTCATGAGTTTAAAAAAAAAATAGTACACATAAGAAGTTGAGAAACAGTTTAAACTTTCTACTTACAATGATGATTGATGTCTATGTAATGGTATAGATTTCATAATTAATATTAAGTGATTCACAGGGATGTCTGTGGACCCATCCGCTCTATTTACCTGGGAAACTTTTATATGTATGAGCATATTCATGAGCATATTTATTTTTAACTTTCTTACTTAAATGATTAATAAGAGTGGCGAAAATTTATTTTTGCACAGTGGTTCGGGGGATTTTTGTAGGCATATATATTATAAAACTCTAATTAAATATTCTACCCAAATTTTAATGGTGTTTCTTGAAAGAGGAACCAAATGTCTGTCAGATATTTAATGTGTTTTTTAATATAAATTTACATAAACTTGATTTTAAATTGTTATTTTTTTCACAGAATGATGGTGAGATTGATATGGGAGCATTTCCTGTTGAAAATATTCGAAATTTTAGTATCATCGCCCACGTGGACCACGGCAAGAGCACGTTGGCGGATAGACTATTAGAAGTCGCAGGTAAATTGATACGATCCGATACGCCGATACGATTCCATGGAAAACGTGACGAGGCACATGTGCCCGATTGTTTTTAATGACACACTTAACGGTCAGTGTCACCTTCCATTCCCAGGTCCTTGGTTCAATTTCTGTGATGATAGCGGGATTTTTTTCTTATGACGAAAACAACTGAAAAATGGGTTGGTGTGCCAAAGAGAATTTTTGATTCAATACAAAGAGCTACACCTGACTCCGAACGTACACTGCTTGTATACCACTGTATACTTTTTTTTATTGATGATCTGTACCAGGTCGTAAACTTAATTGTTTTTTGTTTTTTTTGCCAAAGATAGTAGGCGGACTGCACACATTATCACTTGCTGAACAAAATTGTAGTTGGACTGCATGTGGCCTTCGCGACGCACTGTGCCTACCTGTGTCCTAATTCTCTATGAGACTTAGCTTATAAAGCATGAATGGGCTCTATAAGTCGAAGATTTAGCCAAAGTTTGAAAATATAAATTTCTATTGAATGGTTTGTAAGAGAATAGAAAAAAAAATTAAATAAATATAATATAGAAAAATATTTATATAAAGTAACTGTATTATGTACAGGGTTTGAATTTCTTGAAAATTCTCCATCAGCAAATCTTCTATCCCAGCAACAAGCTTAGTAAATTGTTTCAAGAATACTGTAGGCCTATTTTAGAAATGTAATTGTATAACCATTTCTAGGCCTGGATCAGGTAACTCGACAGCAAAAAGCTTGCTGTAGAGCCTGGGATTTACAACAGAAGTGGAAGGCCCTTTCTACAGCAATTGCTGTCGGCGCTGTTCGGCATTTTTGAACCCTGCTGTATTTGTAAATCGATATGAAAGATTTTTCTTTTTTTACTTCTGATTTTCAAGGTGTGATTTCTAAGAAAGGTGACAATCAACAAGTTCTTGATACACTACAAGTTGAACGGGAACGAGGTATTACAGTCAAGGCGCAGACAGCATCTTTATTTTACACATACAAAGGAACAAAATACCTGCTCAACCTCATAGACACACCAGTAAGTGATGTTGCAAGTTACTCTGGTCATTGTGGATCATTCATGTGAATTCTTGCCACGAAATGACGTTGACGTCACATTGAGATATCCACCAAAATAGTTTTTTTACCAAAATTTGATTTTAATTTTTTGAATAATTTACTACTTATTTTATGTTAGTTAACTTCTATGTGATTTTTTTACACAATAAATTCAGAGCTTTCAACTATATTGGAATAGGGACCAAAATTGTTCATTGAATAAATTTCAAAGGCCATTGAGCGCCATCCGAGCGCTGGGGAAGGGTGTGGTGTCCACCTCCTAAGTTAGATTTAAAAAAAAAAAATAATAAGCCGGAAGATTGATTGTGGGGCAGTATATAGGCCTGGTCGGCAAAACAGAATGCAAAATTATTAAAAAGGTTAAAAATCTAGGCCCAAGCCTAACGGAAAAATATTATTTTCGACTTGTTCTCGCGGGCTGCATTATAACACACACTCGCAGGTTGGCGATGGTCAGCAGGTAGCCAGTTGGCGTTCTTGCATATTCTCTACTTCTGGTCTTATTATTTGTAACCCTAGTTTACTGTAGTTCATCTTTGAGGTAGATTTTCTCTAAACCTGGTTCCCATTCCCCTAAACTTCAAATGCTGACATCTCCAGGTCTTCTACCGAAATATGCTCAATTTGTGATTTTCCAACCATGAGACTCTTTGTTTGTTGTTGGACCTTACATAATATTTTCAGGTATAAAATGGCTAAATGGAAAACTGAAGTCCGACTATTAAAATTTTGTATTTGACATGTGACATGCTTAAATATGGTCATGATGACATCACATCATGACCATATATAGGCACCTCATGATTATATACAGGCATACAACAGTTTTTTTTTTCAAAGAAAATTTTATGGACAGGCAAGTTCCGTTATGGATTCCAATACTATGGTACTTTAATTTTCTTTTAAATTAATTTAATTTGAGTTAGTTTAAGATCTACAGTATTTGAATAACTGAAAAATATTGAATACATTTCTTATAGTTTGAATGAATAATGATTTTATATTCTTTCCGTATAACATTTCTTTCAGGGTCATGTTGATTTCAGTTATGAAGTTTCAAGGTCCCTCGCTGCGTGCCAAGGTGTGCTGTTATTGGTTGATGCAAACCAAGGTGTCCAGGCCCAAACAGTTGCCAACTTCTATTTAGCATTTGAGTCTGAATTAGCAATCATTCCTGTTATGAATAAAGTTGGTGATTTTTTTTAGCAGACTTATTATTAATTTGCAGGTTGCTTCTTAAATTATTTTTATTTTAATATTCTTAAAGGTGGTGTGTGTAAAAAATCTTCAAATGTGAGCTGCTTACAGTACCTATAATAAAACGAAATGTACAGCATTTTTGAGAGAAGTGAAAAGAATGTATTCATTAATGTTATTCCAATGGCGTGTTTTCGTCAGGAGAAATAACACGAATGACGTTTGCCCTACCTGACTTGTTATCGTACTGAATGCTCAGGCCGTTCCCAAATACTTGCAAAAATTTTTATTAATAACCAATTTTGAAATGTATTTCACAAACAGAATAAAAAAAGATGATTTGCAGGCTTATTCTAATGTTAACATGCATCCATAAGACATTTTAATGTTTCCTATTGTGTTTTATTTTTTCCTTTTTTTTTTCGTTTACGTTTTAAAGATAGATTTAAAAAATGCAGACCCCGATTCTGTAGCCACCCAACTTGAGAACCTGTTCGACCTTCAAAATGAAGACTGTCTCAGAATATCCGCCAAAAATGGGATTGGGATTCACGATGTCTTGGAAGCAGTTATCCTTAAGGTACCACCGTAAGTTAAATAACATATTTAAATAACTCTTTTTTGTATTTGTATATTTATTGTAATTATTAGTCTATGATAGAGCAGCTTCGAAACACAGGGTTTTTTTCAGATCGCAGGAGTTAACAAGTGTTGATTCCACTATTTTGATTGAGTACTGAAGGTTTGTGCGAGATGGGAAGTCAAGCAGTACGACAGGGGCACCGCTTCCCGCAGCCTTAATCTTGTTAGTGCAAGTGCTCCGGGCTTCGGTTGCTGAGTCTTCTTGGATGGAAAAGTGGCTTTTGTGCACTTTAAAGAACCCAGTAATTCCTACAAGAAGGTGTAGAGGGCCCCGGTGTACTGGTCCATCCGGCTCCTGTCGTGGACAGACGAAAGTACCCCTCTCGGTAGCTGATTGGACATGACATGACCCTTTGGGAAGAGAAAGTTGTTAAAGTCAGACTCCGGAGGCAAACAATTTTTGATATGTTGTAGAACTGATCTTTGTAAGACAGGAAGAAGTTGTTTGACAAAAAACTAGGGAACCCCCAGTTTTTAAAAATATTCAAAAATCTGTATCTCATTCACCGTTGCTCAGTTTTTTTCAAACTAATTTTTTCTGTCTTAGAAAAATCAACATATCAACAAATTTTTTTACTTCGGAGACTGACTTCAAATGAGTGAGCAGTTCAGCCTATGAGAGCTGCAAGTCAAAGATTATTCACTACCTACTGACCTTCCTTAGCATTGGAATCTCATGGCATAATTGGTGGAGCATCTAAACAGTAATCAAAAGGTTTTGGTTCATATCCTAATGGTCATCAGACAATATATTTTTTCTAAATTATTTGCTTCATGATTTACATGTTATTTACGTAATTTATCGTAAATTTTATGTTTCACAGGCCAACAAGTTGTCCAGAAAAACCGCTTAAAGCCTTGTTATTTGACTCTACGTATGATCAGTATAGGGGAGCAATAGTAAACATGGCAGTGATTGATGGTCACATCAGCAAGGGTGATAAAATTACGTCTGTATACTCGGGAAAGTCGTATGATGTCAGTGAGGTCGGAATCATGCATCCTGATAGGATACCAACTCAAAAGCTGTAAATAGATTTACCAACACGCTAAGATATGATCCAAGCTCATAAAAGGGCTGTAAAATCGCACCGCGCTGTATTGAGAAACAAGCCTCCATAGCCAGAATAGAATGTGAATTTTCTGTGAATTGGGTTTTTGTGTAAAAAATAAAGTATAACTATTAATCTTACTATTCCTGAAGTTTAAGTTTAAAATTCCAACTGTAAAAGGTAAAATTTAGCCATTTTCGGATGGGAGCTAGTGAAAAATGAATAGAAACCTGCCAAAAATAAAAGCATTTATTTTAAAAACTTGATTTAAGAAAGTTGATAAGATGATAATTATTCAAACAGTCATAATTGCTTCCAGACACCCGATGAGTTCATTTAACTGTCATTTTAAAGTAAATGATGTGTTCTATGCCATCGAGGACGAGTTTACAGCCTTTTTATGATCTTGGGTCACATACATTCGATTTGGAAATGATATGCTTGGTATTTGTTAACTCATTTACTGCGAGGGCCACAAGGTCATATACGACAGGGTTCCCAGTACATCAAAGACATTGAGTTCATGTCCACACCTGTCCAAAATTGCAAGTAAATTTGCTGGGCAGTGGTCACTAGCACACAAACCCTCGCCCTGGCAGATCAGGGAAGGACCCGGAAGTAATGATATAGAAATAAATATTGTATGTTTTTTTTTGTGTGACAGTACAGTTGATGGGAATTATTTTTATTATGGTGCCTTCCTTTATACCTTGGCTGAGAAAAAAAAAATAGCAAAAAAGGCTTCACAGTCAAGATGTTAACATTAACATTATTATTTCAGACATTCTGGTCAAGTAGGCTACTTTATAGCTGGAATGTACAACATAAAGGAAGCCCACATTGGTGACACTTTCCACCACCAAGGAAAACCTACAGAGCCTATGCCTGGCTTCAAAGCAGCTAAGCCTATGGTAAGACCAACTACAGTAGAACCTCTATTAAAGGGGACACCTTTAGGACCAAAAAGGTTCCCCCTTAATATGTGGTCCCCTGAATAGGGGTTGGCCTTAGTGTTTAAAGATATGCTTTCCCTTGTTTTATGACTGAAAAACTGTCCCCTTAAATACCATTAATAGGGGTGTCCCAAAGGAGGGATTCTACTGTATTTTATAGACATTTTGTAGAGGAGTGGAGCTGTAGCAGTCCCATGTTCCTGGGTTCAAATCCTGTAGTGAGTGCTAAACCTTTTTCCACAAACTAATTATTAGTTCTTATGCATGTAATGCAATAGGAACTATGGTAATCTGATCACTCTTCACATTTCCTTTGTTTTTTATTGTGTGTAGTATGTGTGTGCATGTGAGTGTAGACATTTATGCAAATGCGCATGCGTCAAAGAAAAGTTTTCCGACATTTTGTTTTACCTCGCGATGCGAAGTTCGATGTGAAGTTTCTGCAGAGTTCAGTCAGGGCTCACGCTAACCTATCGGCAAGTCGGCATGGATGAAACTATTTTGGTTTTACGGCAAACTGTGGCATAGGTATTTTGAAGAAGGCCTAAAATAAACAAAAAGGTTTTAATACTTGCTGAAATACATCGTTTTTTCATTTAGATCTTCATTTTTCACTAACTCCATGCAACGTTTTTTTCTGTTGTGTGAGTAGTCATATGAAGGTACAATATCATGACAGTTGGCTATGCAGCAATGTACCCTTAGAATGCAAATTGAAGACAAGTGAAGATATAAAGGCAGCCGACTGTCGGGTACATAATGACTATCTAACTTTCCACAAAAACATTAGGCCTAAGCTAGGCCTAGTTCAGTACAGTAGTTACTGCGATGCGAGTGTGGTAGATCGTTCAGTCAGTGATATCGTGTTATCGTCTACATTTTAATAATGTGTGTAAAATTTAAGAATGGGTGGGTCGCTTTCTTTGTTATGCGGTAGTAGTATACATAGCAGAGTGACGGCAGCAATCTAAGCCTAGCCTAGGGCCTAGATAGTATACGTTCTTGATCATCGTAATGAAAACTTCGGGTGACAGACGATTGGGCCCAACTGGTGTGGACGATCGGACCCAAGATAGCTTCAAATAAATTGTAGTACTAGCAGGCCACTGCCACCACCCCCACTCCTGATATCGTTCCAAATTACTGTATACCTAGCTAGGCCTAGGCCCTATGCCTACGAAATTTTTTCAAAGAAATTTGCTAAAAATATTGCTGTAATTTGCCTGTCGAATTACACTAAAATCACTATTTTGGGCCATAAAGACTCACCCTGTATTTTTCAACCTCCACACAAATTTGACCCAACATATATATATATATATATAAATCATGTATCATGCATAGGAACGTCTGCAAGGCTCTGGTTATAAATACGCTCAAACTAGTCTGAATTTAGCCTTATAGGGTTATGAATTATGTGGATGGCTCATTATAAATGCATTATTATTATAATAATTATTATTATGAACTAAAGCTGCCCACTGCTCTCAATTAACTATATTGCATATAAATGTCTAATAATTTAATATGCAAACCTAATATCTAAGGTTAGCTATAAACTTTATTTTAGCCCAAAATGTTGATGCTTATTTTGCATTTACAGGATGGGCTTATCTATTATTATCCATGGATAATTAGATTAACATAGTCGGTGTTGCATAAGTTAATTATTTTCAATAACAAATAAATAATAATAATAATATATAAAAAAAAAAATCTACAATTTGTTTCTTGCAGGTATTTGCAGGAATGTATCCAATTGACCAATCAGAGTATCTGTCTCTTAGAAGTGCAATAGATCGTTTGACATTGAATGATAGCAGCGTCTCTGTTAGCTCAGACAGTAGGTAAGTACTCATCAAGAATGTTCATCAAACTTCTTTATATTAGAAAGCTTATGTACAAACTTCTCATATTGATACTACTGCAGCTGTGATGAACATAATAGCGTATGTATTCAAATAAACACTTTGGTGTATTTATTGTTAGGAAAGGTTTTTGAAGGGCTGTTTAACCGAGGGAGACATTTATTTTTTTTTTTTAGTAAAATGGATACATATATACTCAAATAAATGCACCTTAATTTCACTGTAAATGTGAAACTGCTACATAATATGTTGTTATATTTTAATTACCGTAAAAAGTGTTATTGTGTGATGATCCTAAACATTAGGGCGGTTTTGCACGCGAACGAATATGTGTACGCATACATTTAGCTCTCTGTAACAGTTTGTAGCCATTCTATTTTTTGCAATCACAGCGCAATTCAAGTGTAGCCTAGGCCTAGGGCCTTAGCTTAGGCCTACTGTACTCTGTT